ATGTACGTATATGTACCTTGATAGTCGTTTACTGAGTAAGAGAAGATAGATGTGGAAGTTAGCGTTTACATATAGTCGAGGAAAGCGACGTAGAAACTACCCTAACAGCATTAAAATTTTAGAATGTTGCTCAAGTTAGGCTACAGATACGGCAGAAACCGATCACTCGTAAATTATATCAACCAGTATTGATACCCAACTGCTACGATTATAGAGAATATGTTACAAGCGAGCATTGCGTACAATATTTTGTACTGAAAATTAATTAGAGTTGAAAATCTTAATATGAAAATGTAGTATTACATTGTATATAAAATTTAACGCGTAAAAATTAGCACAGTAAACAGCATAACGATTTAAAACGTACACAACGGAGTAATTAAAAATGCGTAAAACAATAAGCGCTAAATTACACACCAGAGTTGGGGGGGGGACGAGGCTTCTTCTCCCGCGAAGCATTCATTGCCGGTAACTGAACGATAAATATTTCAAGTCCATTGACAAACGACGCCCGGTATTTGCTTTTTGCCGTGTATTGTTAGACGGTTCGAGATTTTGAAATCAGGGGGTGTACCGTTGTGTACATAAAAGGTCACCGCGCGTAGAGACTCGAGTTCAATCGTGCCTGAGCCGCGCTCCGCTTATTATCCCGTGGAACGTCGTGACGAGATCGTATCGTAATCAGTCGCCGCTGCTAACTCGTGCTGTTCACGATTCGAATTACATTTAGATCACGTTAAAGATATCAGGTGAATATTTATTGAAACAGATCCCCCCCTCTCTCTCTTTCTCTCTCTCGCGCGCGCGCGACTTGTTTGGTTCAGTGAATTATAAATTACTGCCTCGTGGTACTTGTACGTATAACGACGATCATTTCCTTAACGCCGATCGAAATTATCTCGCGTCGTGCTTGGAATTTCCCGTCGATTTATCTAGCATTTCCGGATTTAGAGCGCGATGTGGAGCACGAATTGTCGGATCGAGTCGGCTCGAGCAACGGAAACCTACCGCGATACAACAATCGTTCATTAACAATCGACTTGAGGTGTAAGCGAGTGCATTTTCGTGGATACGGCGATCGGTGTATAGTTTATTTCTTGGTGCTAGATTGTGTGCGTGGACTCGAAGTTATTCGCGCGATATTGTCGCATATTATCTCTCGTTACGCGATCGTGACAGGTACTAGAGGATGAGAAACATGATTATTCCCTATGAACGGTACAAGTGCAGCCCTAATTACGGCTGTACATTAACCGCGTAATATAACTTCGGGCGTTATATCAACCAACCGTTCGAGATTCGTCCATTATGCTAATTTACGGGACGTCGCGGTTAACAACCGTGCCGTGCCGAGTGTCGTGCGGGCCTCGTGAATCTAACGTAGTGAGCAGTGCGCGATCGTAATTAACCGCGTTTTCGAAAGTGTCGTGTGAGTGCAACCAAGGAATCTGAGAGGAGGAGAAGGAGGTCACCAGGCGACTGCGGGACAACCACGAGGTAACTGTTTGCTAGAGTCCGACCGAAATTTCGGTTTCGGCCATTTTCGGCCTAAAATCCAGATTTCGGCTTGATTTCGGTTTCGGCCGAAATAGAGAGAAAATTTCGGTGACGTAAGCCGAAACCAGAAACTACAGAAGTCGCAACACATCGCGTTGGTCGACGCCAATTGCGCCGGCGCGATTTCTTCCTTCTTTATCCGCTCTTTTACTCTCCTTCAAATGTTTAGTGCCTGAAATGCATAACATCGAA